AAAAAAAAAAAAAAAAAAAAAAAAAAAAAAAAAAAAAAAAAGAAGGGCCCAGGGTGTAGCAAGTGGTACAGCACGAGTCCTTGGGTTCAATCACAGCATGGAAGAAAAGAAAGCAGGGCCCCAAACATATATATGTCTGTGCATTACATTCACAGCAGAACAGCAGCCACAGGGTGGAAACAACCCTTGTGCCCACTGAGGGATGAACGGATAACACACTGTGGCTATCTGTGGTGATGGAATACTACACAGCCTTGAAAAGGAAGGAAATTCTGACTCCTGCTATATTATATGGCCCTTGAGGACATATACTGTAAGATTCCACTTCAAGGGGGGACCCAGGGTGGTTAAATTCTGGGAGATCAAAGCAGTACTGTGGTTTCCATGGCTGGGCCAGGGGTCTGGGGAGTTAGTGTTTCATAGGGACAGACTTTCATTTTGATTTTGTTGTTGTTTTTTGGTTTTGGGTTTTTGTTTTGTTTTGTTTTGAGACAGGGTCTCACTATGCAGTTCAGGCTGGCCTTGAACTCACTATGTAGCCTACTGTGGCCTCCAATTAGAGGTGATCCTCCTGCCTCAGCCTCCCAAGTACTGGGATTACAGGTGTGTGCCACCATGCTGGGCTGAGACTAACAGTTCTTAGATAATCATCTACACTGGGGCATTTGGACTTTTTAAAAAAAATGATGACATGATACTTCAATGAACATTCTTGCTCAAACACCTTTGCGAATATATGTTGGTGTGTTTGTCCGTCTTTAGACAGGGTCTCATTGTTCAGTTCAGGCCGGCCCTGAACTCACTATGTAGCCCAGGGTGGCATCGAACTTGCAGCGATCCTCCTGCCTCAGCCTCCTGAGCGCAGGGATCACAGGTGTGCGCCACCACGCCCAGCTATAGATAAGAAAACTGAGGCTCAGGAGAGTGTAGAACCATAATAACCCCTAGGGTCGTCCAGCTGGGGCTGGCTTCCTCCCTGGGACTCTGAATCCAGGCGTCATGTGACAGGAAGCCGGGCTCCTCCGGAGACCTGGTCGCCCTCCACGCATGCGCATGGGAGAGGGCTGCTCCGCCCAGAAGCCCGGCCCTCTTTGGGGCCCCGCGCCCGCCCCTTTCCAAGACTCACAGGCGATCTCCCGGCGACGCAGGTTCTCCGTTTCCTCCTGGGTTATGGCCATCAACTGTTCCATTCTTATTCTAGGAGAAAATCCCACCCATTCGTTGGAGAACACCTCCTCCCGCAGGTCCTGGAAGGAGCCCACCCAGGCAGGTGTAAGAGGATGCACGTCCCTTAGGAAACGGCCAAGGGTGGCAGCAGCCAGAGCTCCAACGCCGTCCTCCCTCACGTCCTCTACAAACGTCCCTCAAGAGCCACAAGCCACCACGGTGACGCACGCCTGGGGAGGCTGGAGCAGGAGGATCAAAAATTCGAGCACAGCCTGGGCAATTTAGTGACTTAGCGAGACTCCGTCTCAAAATTTCAAAAAATGTTCGAAAGGGCTGGAGATGTTGCTCAGTGTAAAGTCCCTGGCTTCAATCTCCGATATTTAAAAAACGTCACATAAACCATCAGGGTACATTCAAAGGCCACTCACTGAAGTTCTTTATGAGACACTGAAAGAAATTTAAGTGTTTACTGACACAGAGCTACTTAAAAATGTTATGAGAAAATTACATAGTCCATTGCTTTCCAGCTATTACAAATAATGCGGTTTTTGTTGTTGCTGGTGGTGGTGGTCAGGTCCTTGTGCTTTCGAGGCAGGTGGTGGAACTACTGAGCTAAATCCCCGGCCCAATAATGAGGGTTTTTTTTTGCCGTGGAAAAATATCCATGATTATAACTGGAAATTTGCCTCTATAATCCCAGCACCCAAGAGGCTGAGGCAGGAGAATCACCAGGAGTTTGAGGCCAGCCTGGGCTACAAAGTGCGACTCTGTCTCAAACAAAACAACAAAAAAAAAGAGGAACCTGGAGATGATTTCAAGCCTACAGGAGGATGTGCATAGGTTTTGTACAAATATTTACCCTTTTTACCCCAGGGATGTGTACATCTGTGGGTTTTGATATCCACAGGGAGTTCTCATACCAATTCTCTTCAGATTCCGGGGATAAATGTATTATTTTTCTTTCCATAAATGTTGGGTTCTCTTTTTTGGATTTTTTGAGACAGGGTCTCACTATGTAGTTGAGACTGACCTGGAACTCACTACGTAGCCCAGGCTGGTCTCCGGCTCACAGCGATCCTCCTGCCTCAGCCTCCCGAGTGCTGGGATTACAGGTGTATGCTACCACACCCGTTTTTTTTTTTTTTTTTGAGACAGGGTCTTGCTATTGCTATGTAGTCAGACTGGCCTGGAAGTCACTGTGTGGCCCAGGCTGGCCTCAGACTCATGGTGATCCTCCTGCCTCAGCCTCCCGAGTGCTGGGATCACAGGTGTGTGCCACCACGCCTGGCCATTTTCTCTAACTTTTCACGTAAGGAAGAATGTACATTGTCCATCCAGCCTTGTTGAGGCCTGGCTTTTCCTCTGGAGTGTACATGCATTGCAGCCTGGAAGCAGTGGTTCTTTCTAACTCCATGTTCTATGAGGGGCTTTCTGGATGCTTCCTGGTCTAATTCTTGGAAGAATCACAGTCGTGCTCCCTGGGACCGCACCCCCAAAGGACCCTTACCGTTCATTTTCCAACGACTTCAGAATCTCTGAACTTTGTTTTTGCCTGTGGAGAAAACCAGAAAAGGTCCCTGGGGTCACCTGTGAGCAGCAGAGCTGCCCACCTCACTGTGCCGGCTGTGGCCAGGTGGGGATATCTGGGACAGCCCAGGAGCTCCATGCTCTCTGGCCACTAAGCCACTCCAAGTCCCAGGTTTCCTCACCTGTGAAATGGGAATTAAAAATAAACAAGCAGGGCCAGGGATTTAGCTCAGTAGTTCTGCTGCCTGCCTTGTAAGCACAAGGACTCGAGTTCCATCCCTGGTACCAAAAAATAAAAATAAATAAACAAGCAAACAAACAGTGTGAGCCATCTGTAAAGGGTGAGCCAGAAAATATACACAAAATGTTTGCCACTATAGCACTCATAGCCCGGGCGTGGTGGCACACAGCTGTGATCCCAGCACTGGGGAGGCTGAGGCAGGAGGATTGCCGTGAGTTCAAGGCCAGCCTGGGCTGCATAGCATGAACCCTGTCTCAAAAACAAAAGCAGAACCCAACGTGCACTCCCAGTCCGGGACTCAGTCAGGCATTCTGTGACCGACAGGTGACAGAGGGTCAGGTAACCCAGGGGCCGAAAGAAGGAAGCCAGAGGCACAAGGCCTGAGCTGGCACCTGCTTCCGGAATCCCTGTCCGGCCCCTTCTCCTGACCCCCAGGACTCCTTACTAGCTCCTGATGAGGGCAGAATTTAAGCTCAATCTCACTCTAGGGTGAAGGGCCGACTGTGGGCAGCAGAACATTGGGTCAGAAATCTCAAGCGGCCCAGCGCTGCAGGAGAGGAGACAGGAGGTGGCCTCCCACGGGCCGGCACTGACCTCCGGTTCTCCTGCAGCAGCTTCTGGATGCGGCTGGCGACGCTGTGCTCAGCCTCCTTCAGCTGCTCCTGCAGCCGCTGCCGCTCGGCGTCCAGGTAGCGCTGGTGAGCGCTCAGTCCCTGCTCCAGCCGGGAGCGCTCCTGCGGC